ATCCAACAACACGCCTGGAGATCTCCTCATCCTGTACGGTAGAGGTAGAAGCTGTAGATGCACTGGTGGAGGGTGAACGTCGTAGGCAAACCCCTATGACCTGAGCCTGTAGACTCAACCCTTCTTCTTCTCTCTAATAGCCTCCCCCCACAGGTCGTACGTGGAAGGATCACGCTCGCGGATCATAAAACATCCCGATGCCTGGGATCGACACTCCTTTAGCTGCTGGAATCTCTTCTGCCAAAAAAAATAGTTGTATTCAGTTAGAGCAAGCATGTATTAACATTAAACTAGTTTAGCTCCTGTGGGTTCACACATGTACATTAGTGGTGGAGGGTTCTCGTCCAATTTTCACAGCCTGTCTAAATAATAAAAATAGTTAGAATACATCTTCGAACTATATAAAACTTTAAAGAAGGAATGAACCTTACTAGGCTTTGCTTGTATTCTATATGGCCCCACCAGTGTGCTTGGAGGGCCCCATGCCTTCACAGTCCGACTGCCTGTTCTGCTTTTCCTGCTCCCTCTTCTTATACTACTTCAGGGAATAACAGACCCTGTGCAACGTGACAAAGACATCCTCTCCGAGCCACAGATGACGCTATCGAGATTTTTGAATATCGCCGAACATGTTATGGAGGCGATCATTATTCTTGTGATCTAAGTAACGTTGGATGCACGCCTCCTGCTCTGGACATCGACAAAATTACTGAGATTATGTTCGTTTGATAAATAAATAAAAATAACTTAAGATATTTGTGAACGATACATACCACAAACTCTTGAAACCAAAGATCTTGAATGGTCATCGAAATCTCCTTCGACGACAAGTACGTTTTTAGTATTGTTGTATGTGTGGAGGTACTGGCAGTGGTTATGTGTGGGCGTTGGGGTGGGGGGGTGGGGGGGGGGGGGGTGCAGAACCTTAAAACAACAAATTGTTAGTTTATATTCATTTGCAAAATAAAAAAAAAATTCTGGTAATATCTTAAAAAAAAACTTATGTGTTGCCAACAGGCTTGAGGGAGTTGTTGATGCATGTCGATTGCTGCACGGTAGAGACGTGGTGGGCCTCTGATGCGCTCAACTCTGCTGTAGTCGGTTTGAAGGTAGGGGAGGGGGTAGGGGTGGGGGCAGGGTTTGAGGCAGAGGTGGGTGTAACAGTTGGGGTGGGGGTGGAGTGGGGCGAAGCGGGGGCAGGGGCATGGAGCACAACACTATCTGACGAACGAGCATGTTAGGAGAGACCTCTTGACTGTGACACAGCCCCCTCTCTCAAGTGGGGAGGGAGACCATCCATGTCAACAACAGACATCTGCAATAAAGAGAATACATTTTATTAATTAGTGCACATAAAAAATATAATATATAATAAACTAAAACTAGAACAATACATAATAGACATAAAATATATACGTATGCAGTAGACAGGTAGATGAAATTGTAAAGTGCTAGGTAGAACTACTAAAACCAAAAATACAAAAATGCGCAATAAACTAAAATACAAAATTTAATGAAAAAGTACAAAATACAAACTCATGAGATTAAAACATTCAAAATTCAAAGCAACTTACTCATCTTACTCTACACCATCTGAAGAGTGACTGGAGGATATTGTCATGATCTCTTCTTCAAACGCATCGTCAGAGTCATACTCATCACCAAGATTAATTTCTTCATATTGGCCACTAACAATCTCTAGATTGAGCTCTTCATCGATTACATCAAGTGGAAAACAGAAACAGACATTTCATTTCCTTGATGGGCGAGTTTAATGTTATTTGAAATATTAATAGTGGCTCTTAATTTGCTTGAAATGCCAACCACCCAGCTAACGTTATTTCTTACTCTATGTGGATATCAAAGATAGTGAACCTGAATCACCTGTCGGGCTAGAATGAAAGCATAAAATTTAGCATGTCTTCTGTTCACTTTCACTTCTGTGATATTATATAGTTGGTCTACACTTGTTCCATGATTAGAAACAAGATTGAACTAAGTACAATTGAATAGGAGTATACTTCCTTTAACAGAGCCTAAATAAGATAGTTCAATAACTTCTTCAAGAATCCCATGATAGTCTATACATTATCCAATCAAATAATAAAATAAATAAAATGTGTTTACTCTAAAATATATACAATATTGTTCACAAAAATAATATATATTCAAATGTGCAACATGAACATTAAAAAAAGAAAAATAGCTCCTAATCATCCTCCTCTATCTCCTCAACCTCATCTTCATCCTCATCATCCTCTGCCCTGCCTCATCCCCCAATGCTGTCGCTGCATGTCGCTGCATTGCCACACTCCCTCATCACTTGTCGAAAGGAATCTAAGTAGACCTTGAGCTTAAACTCCATGTTGGCCTCCAGCTCCAACCTCATTTGAGTGAGGCTGACCTCCATCTCTGAAGAGAATCCAACAACACGCCTGTAAATCTCCTCATCCTGTGTGGTAGAGGTAGAAGTTGCAGATGCACTTGTGGAGGGGTGAACATTGTAGGCAAACCCCTATGACCTGAGCCTGTAGACTCGACCCTTCTTCTTCCCTCTAACAACCTCCCTCCACAGGTCGTACTCGAAAGGATCACGCCCGCGGATCTTAATACATCCCGATGCCTGAGATCAACTCTCCTTCAACTGTTGAAATCTCTTTTGCCAAAAAAAAGTAGTTGTGTTCAGTTAGAGCTAGCATGTATTAACATCAAACTAGTTTAACTCTTATGGGTGCACTCATGTACATCGATGACGGAGGGTTCTCGTCTAATTTTCACAGTCTGTCTATATAATAAAAATAGTTAGAATACATCTTCGAAATATAGAAAATTTTAAAGAAAGAATAAACCTTACCGGCCTCTGCCTGTATTCTGTATGACCACACCAGTGTGCTTGGAGGGCCCCATGCTTCCACAGTCTGGCCGTCTGTTTTACTTTGCTTGCTCCGTCTTTTTATACTACTTCGGGGAATCATAGACCCTATGCAACGTGGCAAAGACATCCTCTCCGAGCCATAGAGGACGCTATCGAGATTTCTGAATATCGCCAAACATGTTATGGAGGCAAGCACTGCTCTTGCGATCGAAGTTACGCTGATTGTGCGCCTCATGCTCTGGACGTCGGCAAATTTATTTCTACAAAATTACTAGGATTATGTTCGTTTGATAAATAAATAAAAATAACTAAAAATATTTGTGAACGATACATACCACAAACTCCTGAAACCAAAGATCTTGAATGACCATCGAGATCTCCTTCCACGACAAGTACACTAAGTCGTACTTGCTCTGAATGATATGTTGAATGGTGTGAATAGTCTGGGTCAGTGGGTGTGGGGGGGAGTAGGGGGTGCGGAACATTAAAACAACAAATTGTTAGTTTTATATTCAATTGAGAAAATAGAAAACTTGTGTGTTGCCAACAGGCTCGATGGAGTTGTTGATGCCTGTCGACTGCTGCCTGATAGAGGCGGGGTGGGCCTTTGATGCTCTCATCCTTGCTGTAGTCGGATTGGAGGTAGGGGATAGGGTTGGGGGCAGGGGGGGTGGGGGCAGGGGCATGGAGCACAATGCTATCTGACGAACAAGCATGTCAGGAGAGGCCGATCGATTGTGACACAGCCCCCTCTCCCAAGTGGGGAGGGAGACCATCCCTGTCAACAGTCTACTTATGCAATAAAGAGAATACATTTTATTAATTAGTGCACATAACAATATACTATATAATAAACTAAAAATAAAACAATACATAATAAACATAAAACATATACATATGCAGTAGACATGTAGATGTAACTGTAAAGTGCAAGGTAGAACTACTAAAACCATAAACACAAAAGTGTGCAATAAACTAAAATATAAAATTCAATGAAAAGTACGAAATACAGACTCATGAGATTAAAGCATTCAAAATTCAAAGTAACTAACTCATCATACTCAACACCATCTGAAGAGTGACTGGAGGATGTTGTCATGATCTCCTCTTCAAACGCTTCGCCCGAGTCATACTCATCACCGAGATTAATTTCTTCATATATTCCACTAGCAACCTCTAGATTGAGCTCTTCATCGATTGTATCAAATGGAAAACAGAAAGAGTCATTTCAGTTCGTTGATGGCGAGTTTAATGTTATTCAAAATATTAATGGTAGCTCTTGGTTTGCTCAAAATGACAACTGCCCAGCTAACTTTATTTCTTTGTCTTTGTAGATATCGAAGATAATGAACCTGAATCACCTATCGGGCTAGAATGAAAGGATCAAATTTAGCATAACTTCTATTTACTTTCATTTCTGTGATATTCTTGTTCCACGATTAGGAACAAGATCAAACCAAGTACAATCGAATAGGAATATACTTCCTTCAACAGAGCCTATATAAGATAATTCAATAACTTCTTCAAGAATCCCATGCTAGTCTATATCATTGTCTGATTTAGAGTAAACCAAGAGCCTTTCATTCTAACCTGATAGACGAGTTAGTTTTACTATCTTCGATATTTACATAGAGCAAGATATAACATTGATTAGGTGGTTGTCATTTCGAGTAAACAAAGAGCCACCACTAATTTTCATAATAACATTGAACCCTCCCATCAAGAAACTGAAATGACAGGTTTCTGTTTTCCACTTGACGCAATTGATGAAAAGCTCAATCTGGAGGTTGCTTGTGGTGAATATGAATAATTAATCTCAATGATGAGTATGAATCCGATGATGCATTTGAAAAAGAGTTCATTACTACATCCTCTAGTCACTCTTCAAATGATGCTGAGTAAGAAGAGTAAGTTTATTATATCTTTCATTGAATTTCATATTTTAGTTTATTGCATAGTTTTTTGTTTTTAATTTTAGTAGTTGTATCTTGCAATTTACAGGTTCGTCTACCTATCTATTACATACTTATGTGTTTTATGTTTATTATGTACTATTTTATTTTTATTTTATTATATAGCATGTGTTATATTCACTAATTAATAAAATTTATTCTCCTTATTACAGATGTTGACTGGAGGCAGAGACAGTCTCGCTCCCCACTCAGGGTGGGGGGTGGGTGTGCTGGACAGTGCTATTAGATGAAGAAGAATGCCAGGAGAGGGCGCCCAACTTCTACACCCACTCCCACTCCCGCTCCCACACTCAACCTCGCCCTTACCTTGACCACCACCCTGACATCGCCCCGAACTCTACCCCCACTCCCATCACCGCCT